CAAAATTCTCCAAATTAATTGTTGGAGTGAAAAAGTAGCGCATTCCGTAATGTAGATACAATACAAATATCGATGAGGCAAATCGTATAATGTACAAGCTCTTTAATTCCAGATGCAAGTTATCTATCTGGAAAATACTCTTTAAATTTCTTCGAGCTGAGAAATGAAGTATCACATTTTGGAATGTTGATACGTGCTCTTTCTCGTTAATGACTTTAACATCATACCAAGTACTACCAATTATAAAACTCAGCCAACCCAATAATATGATGCTAGAAAAGATTATTGAAATATTATTAATATTATTTTGAATTATTTTGATAAATTATCAGCATTAAATTTGCGCATCCAGAATATTTTTATTCAATTTCATAAAAACTAAAGCTTAGATTTTTTTATAAAGTTATAACTAATATAAATATATTTTTTTAATGTTAATAATACGTAATAATTGCTTCTTCAATAATAATCACCAGTATATTTTTGCAGCAGCAGTAAATCTTGGTTCTTCTTCAATCGTTTGACAAAATCTTGATTGGACAGCAATGTGAATTTTAATATCGTTATATGTATTGATTTGTTGAGATTTTTTTAAAACCATTTCTACGTCTTTCGCCTTGCAGCTTGATGGTACATCAGAGCTAATTGTAAGTGATATCGACGAATACGGAGAAAATTTCCTTTTTCCTATGCGCATAAAAACATTACCATAAAAAACAACTAAATTTAATGTGGCACACTTTTCTTGAGTAAAAAGAAACAAAATAATTTTCATATACCAGTCTCTCGATTTATGCTGCATTTTTTATACACGATTATTAATCAGTCACTTCATGCAATATATTTTATACACAGTTTCTCGCGATAAATTTATGCGATTAAAAATGTTATTTTTTTAATTGTATATACTCTTAAAAGAGACATGTAAATTTTCATTACTTTTCTATGATGCTAACTGATTATCTCAATGCGCGCTTCACATTTATTGTTTTAGAATCCAGCAGTGACACTGACAAACAGTAAAATTAAATTGTTTCTGTACTTTATTATACTTTATTCTAATATTAATAAATAAATGTAAATCAAGGGACAGGTGTATTTATGATATTATACCTGTATCGCTTCCCAAACAGATTCGTTCGGATCAAAGTCGAACATGACTGATTTCTTGGAATTCATTAATGTATATTTTTTTTCATACAGAAGATCGACTAAACAGTATTTCCCAGTGATTTTGCCGGCCAATGTATTTTTTCTTCTAATATCAACTTGCAAATTGTAACATTCGTCAAAGTTACCCAAATTTCTTGTATGACCGTACAATATGCCACTCGGATACTTTGATGAAGCGTCATACACTAAAGCAATTTTATACGATATAATGTAATAATTAAATCTTGAATAAAATTTCCATTTTAGATTTTAGAATATTGGTCGTAAATTAATAATTATTGCAAAGATTCAAATATGAAAAATGCTAAATTAAATATACAAGTCTGAATAAAATAGTCAAAATCTTAATAAAAAAATGGAAATATAATAAACTGCCACAAGAGAGACACTTCTATGGATATCTTTGTTAATTAAACATTTTTTTGTTTTAACAGTGATATTTTTAATAAAATTCTAAGTAGATAATACAATTCTAATATTCTAGTTTTTTTTTATTTTTAAATTGCTTTTATTAATTAAAAATTTCATTAAAAAAGTTTATCCTGGACGTATTTGTACACTTTTTAATTTCACAAGTATCAATTTTTGATGTACTTACTTTGCACAGCCCATAGTGTACCACGTTGTAATTCGTTTAAAAATCGTAGCGCATCTTCTTTACATTGTTCATGTGGCAAGTATTCCGATTGAGCGAAGATTATAGGTAACAGCGGTGAATTTATAAAATTGATTGATTTCATATGCCATTTATGATATTTGGCATTTTTTGTGATTTTGATCTAATTCGTTTGGTTGGAACAAATTTTCGTATTAGACGTTGTTCGTATTAAACATTGTTTCGATGTGACATAACTCTGTTCAGCCAAATTGCACGATATCGTCGATAACAATAATACGCCAATGTAAACGATCGTGTGTTTAAGCATCTCTATTCGATATTCCGCACAGAACTAGCAAAGTTTTGTTTCCGTGATCCTTTTATATGTATCCTTATTGCCCCGATGCGCCGCGTTTAAAGCAACTGTGACTTGTAGAGAATTTTTTATAAACGACCCATCGACGTATAATTAATACCGAAATACCGTTATGACACCCTGTTAATTTGATAAATCAAGACCCAAGCTTGCATAAACTATCGGTCCAGACTTGGTCCAGGCTTGGCACCGATACTGCCGATGCTCGGCTGAAGCTTGGCTCCAGTATTGGGCCAGCTTCGGGATGATAACATCGTGCCAATGGTTTGCCAATGGTTTGCCAAGGATTGGCTGTCAAGTATGGTCCAATACTCGCCCAATCCTGGGAAACAATTGGCCCGAATTTGATGCCAATTATTAGCATTAAGCTAATAATTTATCGATTTAAGCTTTAATCTTAATTATAGCTTGAATTTTTATCGATTATTGAGTCATTAAAATCAGTTAGAATAAAATAAAATTGAACTTACATGTTTTAAATCTTTTATTTTGTAGTTTTCAAATTTTAATATTCAAATTTTTTAAATTCAAATTTTTAATAAAAATTATTTTTAAATATTATTTCGCTCCTTTCTACCTCCTTCCCGATCTGAAGCGCCAGCCAACCATTTGCTTGTCAGCGATTTAATAATAATATTAGTACTGTTATGTACAACGAT